CAACTGCGTTACTATGACGCAGTACCCCTGTCCCTGGTTCAAACTTTGACCACCCTACCCTCATTGAACTCTCGATCTTTGCCCCCTGGAGTATAAAAGCAGTCCTCCCCATCGCCGGGATCTCCACTACCGATCTTCAGCTACGACTTACTGCTATATACTAATATTCCTATTCTGGGGAGCTTCGGCTCCCCAGAGCCTCACCTGCGTTTAATGCCTTATCTTTTTACTTTACTATGTATAATAAACATGTATATAGGACGCGACATGTTACACACACATAAACACACACACACCTACAAACGGGACACACACTAGTCTAATAATCTAACTATTAGGGTCGCGATAGGCTGGTTTCGTTTCAGGCAACTAAAAAATGCTTTGTGTGTAATTTTAGTACAGAGCAAGGATATGGGATGTCGCTGAAAGCAGGACGTACTATGCTGCAAAAAGGTGCTCGAGCAATCGATACAAATGGCAAAATATTTGCGGTTATTTGTCGTGCTTCACATCATCCCTTTTATGATGTGAAATTGGTTAATTTTTAATTCGTTAAAATATTCCGTTACATTTTGCAACTGTTGTTTCATCGTTGCTTTTCTCAGCGCCATTGATGCTGCAGCTGGCAACTTCTCCATTCTTCTCTATTTTTGGCTTCTCTCATTCATAAAATTTTATTTAGGCGAATTATTCCACCGCACCGAAGTGGTTTTCTTTTTTTTTTGTTTAAGTTTGTGTTGCTGCTTTTATCCACATTTATAAAAAGGGGTTCGTTTGGGCAATTTTTTTACTGTAGAAGGAAAAAAATGTCCTTTTTTCCCGCTAATTTTGGTGTACGCCTTTATTATATCTTCCTGTCCCTCTCGTTTTACCGCACTTTTTTGTTGAGAATACATCTTATTATATGAAGCTAATCTCACCCATATCAGATGTAGTGTGTTTTATTTAGTTTACACGAGATGGACGTCCATTCAAGCTACTTGGTGCGATGTCGGCCAAAGAATCGTGCTGCTGCAAGTTTTCACCGGACAATTCAAATTTGCTACTATCAGCAGGCGATAACGAATTCCGCATCACCAAGTTCGTTTTCACACGCTTTACCACTAATTTTACCACTATTAATGGAGCAACTCCAAGCTACTAACAAAAATCGGAGGTGAAAATACTCCGTTCCACTCCAGTTTGCTTGGGAGGGAAATTAATTGAGTCAAAAAATTTTGACTCAGAAATGAAAATTTTTCGAACTAACAGCTGAAATCCGGGAAAATTGGTGCTTTGTGATGACATCAGTGTCACCCTTCCTATTCCCATCGTTGGTGGCATTGATACGTGGCCATTGAGAGCTTGGTGGTAATTACTTTAAACTTGACGCAGGACTCTTCCAACTTGACTGGTGCTTCTAGTTGTTGGCCTTGTCTGTTTCGATTCGTGCTGGTCGCTTTATGACTCATATAACATGGCGAAGTGCTGCGCAAGATTCGCATTTTTTGGTTTTTTGGGAGAACTAGAGTCTTTTTTTTTAAAAATATTAAGGTTTTTTAACCCAGACAAACTTTGCACTGGATAGCGAAAGTTGTGTGCCTCAAAACTGCCGTTTTGTTTTGTTTCGATTATTTGTTTTTGGCCTGCTTCCCCTTCTCCTTCTTCCATTTTCCCGCACTTTATCCCTCTTCTCTACGCTTCTAGCATCGAGGCGGAATCGTTTTTGCTGAAATTTTATCCTTAGACAGTTTTTGGGATTCGTTTTGCTAGACACCAGCGATGCGAAAATAAAACAGCGCAAAATACATAAATACATAAATACAACTGTGCTTACCCTTTCTGTCGCGGAAAACCCGCGAAAAGCTGTTTCAAGAAACCGCAACAGAGAAAAAGAGAAGAAAAGAGAGGTGTGTCTTGCCTCGAAAGGCATTTGCATAGTAGGTGTGCTGCCAGGCCGAAACTGAAACACAAGAACCGGTGGTGCAGTGGTATCACATTGCATCCGCAAATGAAGAGGAGTGGTTCGATTCCTTATCGGCCCAGGACGATTTTTGGAGAAAGGAATCCGTTCACAAAACCTTCTGATCTGAGTTGATTATTTAAAATTTATGCCTGCCATCTCGGTTACATATGCGTCTGTTTGAGAAAGCCGGAGCAAACTTTTCTTTCCTTCCTGGATAGCTCTACTCTTTGACTTTTGATAACTTTAGTAAACTTATTTTTTGATAGCTCGAATGCATTTTTGACGGTTTTCATGCTTGAGTGCCCTTTTTAGCATGACCTGTTCTACCTCAGCGGTCTTTCCCCCCACCCCCCTCCTCCTCTCCCCACTTGTTTCATTTTAAAAAATGTGCAGCATATTGTCGTCCTTCAACAATTCTTAAGCTGGAGTCTGTTGTTTTGCGAGGCTTTTGAAAAAGTTAGCTGTGAGCATAATGATATACTATTGGTAGTAGCAGGCTTTTTTTTGCAGGCTTCAAGGAGCGCCTGAGTTGTTGCTCTCTTGCAAATTGGAAGCAAATGTGTTGAGTTGTTGCTGGATGAGTAGTTATGAAGTGGCGCTTGGCCTGGGTAGCGGTGAGTTATTTTGGTTCTTTAACATAGAATTACTGCTAAACTTTTGCTTGTGCTTTTTTTTGGGGCTGCACTTGGCCGGTGTGTGTATGAAGCTTCGATACGGCTCAGCTGTACTCGGATATTTATTTAAGGTTAAAAGAAAAATTTAAGAAAGATGATGGAAAAATATAAGAAAAGGTGATGGAAAAAAGAAAGAAAGGATGATGGAAAAAATGGGAAGAAGTATTTATTCCGTGGCACAAAAAAAACACCTTCAGTAGCATTTTGAAAGGACAATTTTGCTTTGGTTATGTGCTAATGTCTCCTGCTTTCCAGTGCTGCGAAACTACTTGGGCTTGTTCTTCAATTTCTTGTTCTTCGCTCATAAAAAAATTTTTTTTGCCTGTGCTTTTATACGGATGCATGACCTATAAGTTTTCTGGTTCATTTTCACAGGCTTAACTAGCAGCAGCTGGTATTTCTACCAAAAATGAGCCCGCGTAATTTTCCCGCCTCGTTGTGCTATTTTAGGGTGATTGTGCTGGAGCGCTAAATTTTAGCAAGCAAGATAATTTTTTTGAGGAAAAAGTTTCATACAGAATTCACATGAGGAATTTTTTTTGGATCACTGCCAATACAAATTTCAGGGCAGGTAATTAAATTTAATTTGTACCGTCTTACGGAGACACGCGAAATCTATTCCGTTTTTGGTACCGATCCTGTCATAGGCCTTCATGCATCTCCAAGCAAGTCTTTCCTCCTGGTTGTCACTTCCAAAGAATGTGTGATGTACGATAAAGAAAAACAGCGACACGTACTGCTCTCTGGCCAGGGTAAGTTTGATTTTTTGCTAATGATTATTTTTATCGGAGATTTTTTTCCTCGCATTTCTTTTTTTTCGTTTTTTTTTTGGTTTCATAAGAGAGCATTTCTTACCTGATGGACCGGAACATTTCTTACCAATTACAGATATTTCAGTACTACTTCCTTCCTCTTTTATGCGTTTTGTGCTGTGTAACAGCAGTACTAAACGCATATTGTCACGGGGTTGTCTGTGTGTGTTTGTGTGTGTGTGTGTGTGTGTGTGTGTGTGT